TCGAGATAAGGAGACGTGGATGTGGGACCATGAACAGGGACGGCGGAGTGTACACGTTAGACCGTGCATGGGACTGCATCGTCGGAGAGGGGAGAGCGGGCAGCAGAGGGCGACAATGTCCTCTGCTGCCCGCGGATAAACGGAGAAGGAAGTGACACGCCACCATCAGCGTCAGCCTGAGGAAGCCTGCAGCTGCCGGCGAAACGTAGCTACAAAACAGGTAAACAAAACTGTTTCTGTGTTTTAAAAAGAACGAAAGCATGGAATTAGAACCACGACACAGCAAGAACACACCAAAGATGTTCAAAGAGAAACTCCCCCTGACGGTCCGTCCGACTTGCCCCCTCCCTTCCCGCTTTTAAAGTACGTTTGAAGACATATTTATATTCCCTGGCCTTCCCAGCTGAGACTGTTTAACCCTTGTGCCTTCCTGTTTTTTTGTTGTTTTTTTATTAATAGTTTTTATTTGTTTTATCTATTTTGGTGATGTATTGTCTTGTACAGCACTTTGGTTGGCGTTGTCGCCGTTTAAATGTGCTTTATAAATAAAGGTTGATGATGATGATGATAATGATACCGGTGAATGGGCTAGACAACGTACAGAACGTTCATAGTAGGAAAGTGTTTCAGCGGGGACTCATTTCACTGCTACACTCAAACACAACAGTGTGGTGAAACCAAGAACAGCGGCTGGCGGGAGCTGTCACGGCGACATCGAAACTTCGAACGCAGAACTTATTCCAAAAAGAGGAGCCACACCTGTTGCTTGGAGGTTTTTCGGGTTTAAAAGTTTGGATGTGGAGCAAACAACTATTATATGCAAATGCTGTCGAGCAACGGTGGTAGCCGGCGGGTGTAATACCAGCAACATGCTTCATCACCTCAGCCAAAAACACGTCTTGGAATACCAAGAATGTCTCAAGCTTCGATCTGCACCCTCCACCTCCTAATTTGGTACATATTGAATATTGAGCGATGCACATGTTACACGATGTTATTTGTGGAATTCAAACACTACTGTTAATTTGTTAAGGTCCTTGGTAGCCTAATTTAATTTGTTCTGTTTTAAACATTTGTACAATGTTTGATAGTTTACAAAGAAAATAAAACTTAATTCCTTTACTTACATCAGTGTTTCCCTTACATAGGTGTAGCCATGGCAGCCCGCCACGGCTGAAATCCCAGCGCCACGCCTACAAGATCCCAAGTTTTATTGATTTTTTTTTTTTTTTGCGACATTTCCCGAAGAAGCAGCGGGAACTACTCTGTTGTTGCTTGTGATCACAGCCGGCAGGCAGCAAGGAGGAGGAGGCAGGGCAGGGTGGTTACAGCTAGGGATGAGCCGGATACTCGTTTCAGACGTGTATCCGGTACCGAAAAAGCATTTTTGACGAATACGAGCATGACACGAGTAAAACTCGTAAATATCTGTAATCGTGCTGAAGGAAAATCCTCATTGGGTAACTGACTGTGTTCACCCTCTGTGATTGGCCAGTCACATAGAGCGCCCGCTCCTCCCTACACACAAAACTGCAGCCGGGAGCTCAGTCCATCCGGCCCATCCACACACACACACACACACACACACACACACACACACACACACACACACACACACACACACACACACACACACACACACACACACACACACACACACACACACACACAGTAACTGATCTCTCTGTGCTTGCTTCACTGTTGCTGATGTTTCTTAAGTGCTCCCTAGGTTTTCCTCAGCTCGACTCTTTTTTGCTTGAATATTTAAAGTTACTTTTTTCATAACGTACGTGGTGCATTTGACAAGACGGAGCTGAAAGTGGCTCGTGCTGCCTCCGCTCCGGTCGTTTTTTTTTTGTTTTGTTATTATTTTAACTCTCTCTCTCACACACACCTCAGTCAATGTTGTTTTGTTTAACTGTGTGTGGGAAAAATGCCAACAACGTTAGGAAAAAATCAGTTTAATCAAATAAGAATAAAATGGTTCTAGTATTTCATATTTCCTAGTTCCTACTGCATGAGTCCAGATGCATTAATTCATGCATTTAAATATTAATGTTCTGATTTTACTGAAAAACTTGTTCTGTAATAGTTCCTTTACTATTGTGATCAAAACTATTTAATCTCAATTCTGAGGCTGCTCTGTAAATAGTTTTCAAATAAACAATACACATAGCAACTTCTGATCATTCCATATCAATTTCAGATTAAAATAATGTATCGATGTAAACCACACCCACTAATTTCCAAATAATAAGGTGCATTCATCTGTGTATGCCCTTTGATCCGCATTAGTGATATTTTCAGCACCAGAACAATGAAGCAAAGAAACAGATTCCTGATTTTATGCTAGTAATTTTATTTATTAGGTGCATCTGACCTGTTCTTTTTTTCTCTGAAATGAGATCAAATCAGTGCTTCTATGGGTTGTCTCCTCTCTGCACTAGAAAATTTAACTTTATTATAATGTTCACTGCAATGCATCTTGATGTTCTTAACAAATAAATTAAATCAAAGATATCGGTCAATAATGCCAAATATGTAAATTTGTGTTTCAGTCATTTTATACTAGCTTAAAAATACTTCATTAATTCTACTAAGCCGGGGTGTTGAATGTTTTTAATAGGGCCAGCCCAGTAATGATCTTGGACCAAAATAAAGGGGGCAGAAAGTTAAATAAGGGGGGCAGAAGGAGATGTTTTTCCAGACGCCAAGAAAAATTAAATAGCCCCCCCCCCCCCCCCCCCCCCCCCCCCCCCCGTGCAAAGTGTGTCACTGAGAGTTTAAAACAAAAATTATTTTTGTGCAAATATTGGTGTACCGGTATTCACCTTTAATACTAGTTATTAAAATGCAGCAGTTGCTGGATTGGTGCTGATCAAAGTGGAGTGCATCAAATAAAACAATATTAACATAAAGGTGAGACGTAAAAAGTCAGTAAAATATACAGTAAAACACCTTCAAATCCCAACGGTAATGGAACGTACAACCAAAACTTCATTTTACCGCATTCAGTAACCGTTAATTGTGAGACTGGATCAAACTGTGTTTTTTTACTGTAATAAAATGTTGAAATTATAATTATTTTCTGTGAAAATAAATAAATTTACATAAATTTTACAATTAAATTTTGTAACGTTGAAAATGTCTGAAAACCTTAAATTTTACGGTATTATTCAAGTAAAACTACATCTTTTGGGGTTGTGCATATTGGAATTCACAGTATAAATCTGTAGATTTTAAGCAAACAAAAACCTTAATTTTTACAGAAGCAAGATGTTAAAAATAGGGTCCACCGTAATAATACAACCAGTAAATACCATAAAAAAGCAATTATCATCAGTAAAAGACAATACAACTGCTAGTAAGCTATTTTTAATTTTAAAAATCTGTACATCAGTAGACCTATAGACCTAAAAAGTTAGGCCTGCAGTATATCATTGTCCACCTTCTGATAAAAAAAAAAATCAACAGCAAAATGTGTTTAAAATAAAGTTCATGGTTTTAAATGAAATTAAAATCAATAATCTTTTTCAATTATTATTTTAAATCAACTTTATGTTATGTTTCACGCCATATTATCAGACCATCTGGGTCCGCCTTAACGAGCAATCACATCAAAATCAACTTTTTTTTTGTTGATAACTAGTATAGATGAGTGTCTAACAGTGTTGTAGACATGTGTAGTTATTTTTGCATTTTGATGAATTTTCTTTGAAAACTCTAAATTCTGTCTAAAAAAACGTCAGTCTAGCACCATCTTCAGCTCAAAAGTATAGAACATGTTTACTTTGAGTCGGTTTTAGCCAATGGCTAACGAGAACAATACTACGCATTTCAGAAAAGTACTACGTAGCAGCTCTGTGGCTGTAGGTTATACAGGGAGTGCAGAATTATTAGGCAAGTTGTATTTTTGAGGAATAATTTTATTATTGAACAACAACCATGTTCTCAATGAACCCAAAAAACTCATTAATATCAAAGCTGAATGTTTTTGGGGAACACATTCTTGCTTACAAGTGGTTAATTGATTGTTGTTTAGGCTCTATTAACATGTGGAGTTTGGTGTGTATTTAAATAATACCAGAACATAATCTTTTTGGTTATTAATGCAGAATAACTATTCCCCTTGAATTACTTCTTTAAAAGCTACATATTGATTTGAGCTAATTAGCATGTGAGTTAATCAGCAACAACCCATTATGAATGGCTTATTTTGATAAAACTCTCAATTCATGGCCTGTTAATATTAGAATTACAGCATTGGTAATAAGCACCTAATAACAGCTTAAAAATGACTAATTAAGACTTAGTAGTCTACTAATAAGCATATTAACTGGTAGCTAATTAATGGTTAATTTGTGTTCCCTAAGCTAAAGTGTTACCCAGGTGTTTTCTGTTTGCATTTATAAACTTTAGTTTGATTGGAGTCATGTTTCATATCACCCAGTGACATTCGAATAATCAAAAGCATTTTTTTTTAGAAATTAAAAGAACTTGAGTTTACAAAAATAATATCTGTGTCTATCATTCGATTCTCTGCCTCATTATTTTATTTTTTCTCTCAATGGGATCAAAATGTGATTAATCAAGATCAAGCTTCTGATTAATTCAGGACGTTAGGTACCAACACAACACAGATGCAGAAATATGGAGGAAAACATCAAACCATGCTGTTGGAAAAGGCCTATCTGTCTCTCTCCTTGTAACGGGGGACTGGAAGGTCACCTATGCCCAGGTGAAGTGGGTGGGACGAAATTAATTCTGCATGCCAAAAAACCAGGAGACAAAAACTTTACACAGTTCCCCTTCAAACTCTCCATTCATGTGCCGACTGCAGCCAGTGGGTGAGTGAGTTTGGTGTGTGTGTGTGTGTGTGTGTGTGTGTGTGTGTGTGTGTGTGTGTGTGTGTGTGTGTGTGTGTGTGTGTGTGTGTGTGTGTGTGTGTGTGTGTGTGTGTGTGTGTGTGTGTGTGTGTGTGTGTGTGTGTGTGATCATACCTGGTCACAAGCTTCTTTGCAAGGTGATGGCTCTGCGGCATGTTGGCAGCAGGAGGGATCTGCAGACACAGACAGTAATGACAAGAATCGGTTCTGAGGCAAAACGCTCATGGGGCTAGATGATTTCAGAGTCAAGAGAGAACAAGGTCCTTCTGTCATCAGGACTGGACCAGAATGTGATCAACCAAAACCAAAAGAAAATATGTTTGCACTCAAAAAGTTGATGTCTGAGTTGAACAGTTAGCTTCTGCTAGCTGAGACATTCTCAGTTGTTTCCTGGACGCTGAACCAACAACAGCCTTCCCCGTCGTGAGTCAAGATGGGTGAGTCCATGAATGTTAGTGACAGTGTGACATAGATCTGTCAGGATTTTCTAATCCTAGAGTTTGACCATCTGTTTTCTATCAGAAGCTAATGCAGGAGATAGGTGTAGGAGACTATTTTCATGTTCAGCCTGCATGAAACTCTCAGAGTGACCCGTTAGAATCAGAAATAATCATTAAATGTTTTTTTTCAGTGGTCCACACTTTTAAGAGTTTATTGAAAGGAATTCTACACTATAGAACGGCAATAGATGTACCTGGAAAAAGGGCCAAGGGAAGGGGTCAAAGACACCCGAGGAGGACAGAAGGAGGTGGTAACACCATCATCACCATAATTTTCACCATCATCATCATCATATTCATCATCATCACCATAACCACCATAAATATCATCATCAACATCATGAACATCATCACCATAATCACCATAATTTTCACCATCATCATCATCATCATCATCATATTCACCATCATCACCATAATCACCATAAATGTCATCATCATCAACATCATGAACATCATCACCATAATTTTCACCAACATCATCACCGTAACTTTCATCACCTTTATCACCATAATCATTAACATCACCATCATCATCATCATCATCATCATCATATTCATCACCATAATCATTACCATCATCATCACCATCACCATCATCCTCACCACCATCATTATCATCATCATCATCATTACATAACCATCATTATCATCACCATATTCATCACCATACCATCATCATTACCATCATCATCATCACCACCATCATCATTACATAACCATCATTATCATCACCATATTCATCACCATAATCATCATCATCATCATCATCATCACCATCATCATTACCATCATCTTCATCATCATTACATAACCATCATTATCATCACCATCATCATCATCATCATCATATTCATCACCATAATCATTACCATCATCATCACCATCACCATCATCCTCACCACCATCATTATCATCATCATCATTACATAACCATCATTGTCATCACCATATTCATCACCATCATCATTACCATAACCATCATTATCATTACCATCATCATTACCATCATCACCATTATCCTCACCACCATCATTATCATTACCATCATCATTACCATCATCACCATTATCCTCACCACCATCATTATCATTACCATCATCATCATCATCACCATCATCATTACATAACCATCATTATCATCACCATCATCATTACCATCATCATCACCATCACCATCATCCTCACCACCATCATTATCATCATCGTCATCATTGCATAACCATCATTATCATTACCATCATCATCATCACCATCATTATCATTACCATCATCATTACCATCATCACCATTATCCTCACCACCATCATTATCATTACCATCATCATCATCATCACCATCATCATTACATAACCATCATTATCATCACCATCATCATTACCATCATCATCACCATCACCATCATCCTCACCACCATCATTATCATCTTCGTCATCATTGCATAACCATCATTATCATTACCATCATCATCATCACCATCATTACCATAACCATCATTATCATTACAATCATCATCACCATTACATAACCATCATTATCATTACCATCATCATCATCACCATCATTACCATAACCATCATTATCATTACCATAATCATCACCATCATTACCATCATCATCATCATCATCACCACTGTCATTATCATTACCATCATCATCATCACCATCACCATCATTATCATTACCATCATCATTATCATATTCATCATCATCACCATAATCACCATAAATTTCATCATCATCAACATCATGAACATCATCACCATAATTTTCACCATCATCATCACCGTAACTTTCATCACCTTTATCACCATAATCATTATCATCACCATCATCATCATCATATTCATCACCATAATCATAATCATCACCATTATCATTACCATCATCATCATCATCATCAACATCATCATTACATAACCATCATTATCATCACCATCATTATCATCATCATCAACATCACCATCATCATTACATAACCATCATTATCATTACCATCCTCACCACTGTAACGTGAGGAAATATGGGTTTTCTGTGCCAAAGGTTGTATTTGGCCCGGCTGGGTCAGAGCTGGGTCGCTCAGAACTTTCACCCACAGATTAAGACCTTTGCCGACATGAAGTCTGCAAGATTCAACAGAAACCACAACATCTAACACCTACAGTGCCAGAAGATGGAGTTCTCATGAAAGCTAGTCATAATAAAAGAGTCTTACGCTTCCTTTGTTTATTAATAATAAATAATCATTTTTCCATTTTACTCATAAATGTGTTTTAATCAAATGAATTATTATTATGCTTTGGTTAATCATAATAATATAATGAATCAATGCTTAATTAAATAATGTTTTGAAGAAGTTTTAGTGATGACCTTCACACTCGCTCACACAGGTCTACTCTCACAGTAAACTCCAAAACACATTTGCTCTGACGCACACGTTTGCTTAGGAAGAGAACTGGGTTTGGTAAGTTTCAGTTCATGATTCAGTTCATGTTTGACAACGAAAGAGGGAGGACTTGTGAACAAACGCCAACGGGGAACGGGGCCGCCGGCTCCCCCCCCCCACGCTATTCCTGTCAAGCCAGACAGGATAGCTGAATTGCAACTGCTAACGCAGACTCGTCCAGAGTCTTTTGATTTCTGAGTAATTTAAACTTAAGAAAGCGCATCTATCAACCGCTTCATTAACGTGTACCGAGGTCAACTCTGGACCGGAGCGTCGGACACCTTCGTCTTCTCTGCCAGCCAAGGTGTCCCCTGGATGAACATCCTCCGGTGACGTCCGGATCTGAAAAGGGGGTCCTCGTACGGTGAGGCAGTACACGACAGATAGCGTTTGATGCCTTTTCCTAATAAGACCTAAGTTTAATTCAAATCATCACTGTTCACTCAGACACTTGTTTCTTCCTGAAGTAATCTCAGACACCTGCCCACACTCATTCATATCACATCATTCTCAATCTTAGCACATCCAACACAATGTCTATTTGTGCAAGTTTAAAATATCAACTGTTAAAGATTGTCCAACAAGGTTGCCAATGTTGATTAATTTCCTATGCTTGTCCTTTCAAATCATTAGTTTAAATTAAGAATTAAAATTCTTAACTTTCAAACTTGTCTCTCCATTGACCTGAAACACAGACAAACGGATATGATCGTCAGTTTATCGATGAAAACAACCTTTGAGTCTTCTTAATTCTATAAAATTTGGTTATTATTTTATTAAAATTAATATCTCAAATTAATATGTAGGATGGTTTCTCTTTCATAAAAAGCATAAACCATTACACTACACCACCATCAGTATCATCACCATCATCATTACATAACATCATTATCATTACCATCATCACCATCATCATTACATAACATCATTATCATTACCATCATCTCCATCATCATTACCATAACCATCATTATCATCATCATCATCATCATCATCATTACATAACCATCATTATCATTACCATCATCTCCATCATCCTCACCACCATAATTATCATTACCATCATCATCATCACCATCATCATTACATAACATCATTATCATAACCATCAGCATCATCATCTCCATCATCATTACCATAACCATCATTATCATTACCATCATCATTACATAACCATCATTATGATTACCATCAACACCATCATCCACACCACCATCATTATCATTACCATTATCATCATCATCATCATCATCATCTCCATCATCAATACCATAACCATCATTATCATTACAATCATCATTACCATAACCATCATTATCATTACCATCATCATTACCATCATCATCATCATCATCACCATCATTACCATCATCATCATCACCGTCATTATCATTACCATCATAACCATCATCATCACCATCATTATCATTACAATCATCATTACCATAACCATCATTATCATTACCATCATCATTACCATAACCATCATTATCATTACCATCATCATTACCATCATCATCATCATCACCATCATTACCATCATCATCATCACCGTCATTATCATTACCATCATCACCATCATCATCACCATCATTATCATTACCATCATCATCACCATCATTATCATTACATCATTATCATCATCAACATCATCATTACCATCATCATCATTACCATCATCATTATCATCACCATCATTATCATCGTCAACATAATCATTACCATCATCACCATCATCATCATTACCACCATCATCATCATTACCATCGTCATCGTCTTTTCTTACGGCACTCGCTGAGTACAGAAGCCTCTGCTTTTGCTCCCTTATCTTTTTTTCCCAAGGTTCTTTGTCCTGTCTGCCCACAGAGCGCTTCTCTGCATTTCGTCTGAAAACCCCCATTTTTTAGAATGGATTTAATTAATTGGTCATTTAACGCGATTGATACGTTTTTTTCTACGATGAGAACAGAGGAGGGGGCTCCCACTTGCCCGCAATGGACACAAGCAGTGGGATATATGCTCGATTCCTGGAGGGAGTGGACGATCGTATGCCTCTCTCAGTTGTCCATTGAGGATGTTGAAGATGTGTGGATATTTGGCCTGATGATCACTGGATTCCTTCTGATTGGAGTGGGAGGATATCTGGCTTTCTGGAAATTTGGGAAGACGGGAGCGATTGGAGGGCGACCCGCACCCACGGAGAGCATCGTCCGTGTGGAGACCTCAC